TGGGGGCAGGGCAGGAAATGGAATTTATGACAAGGATGCTCTTTCTTGTCTGCTCTGCAAACCAGGGATTCTGTGACTGCCTGTGGCTTCTTCTGGGTTGGCTTTGCTTTCAGGGGAAAAGTTGCTGCTTTGTGGCTTTGGAGGGTCACCCGAGCCCATGCCCAGGCCCCCTTGGCCCTGCCCCAGGCCTGGTCTGATGTGGCCTGTCCTCTTGGCGGCCTGACTCTCTGGTCTGCATTCTATCCTGAGTGGGTCTTGCACTCCTGGACTCAGGTGGGCTGGATCTGCTGACTCGTTCTAACCAACAGAACACAGTAGGAGTGATGGGTGTTGCTTCTGAGATTAGGTTCTAGAAGACGGTGATTTCCATCGTGTGAGTCCTCTCTGACTTTTCTCACTTTCTTGTTCTGATGAAGCTGGCTGCCCTGTCATTGGCAGCCCTATGGAGAGGCCATCAGCCAGGGAACTGAGACCCTGGGTCCATCAGCCCGTGAGGAACTGAACTCAGCCTATAGCCACAGAGTGAGCCAGGCCCCTGCAGATATCTGCAGCCTCTGCCACACCTTGATCACAGCCTGCAAGAGATGCAGGGAGGCCGCCAGCTAAACTGCCTTCAGATTCCAGTCTTGGAAAAGCTGGGAGACAACAGACAAGGTTTTAAAATGTGACATTTCGGGGTTATTTGTTACGCAGCTGTAGATAGCCATTACACGTATTTCACTGAATGTGTCTTACGAAACACAGAAGCAGCATGTGAAATCGGGACATTCATTGCCTGCCGTTGTTTAGTCACTAAATCGTGCCGACTCTTTGTGACCCCATGGACTGAGGAGCCTGGTGGGATTTCCCGGGCAAGAACACTGGAGTGGGTTGCCATTTCCTTCTCCAGAGAATCTTCCTGACCCAGGGATCAAACCTGTGTCTTCTGTGGATTCTTTACCTCTGAGCCACCAGGGAAGGCCGTAAGCAGCACAGGAAACTGGGACATTTGTTGCTTGCAGTGACTCTGAGCAGGGAAAAAGCAACCCATTTAAATCAATTTGAAGAGACCTGTAGGATAAATAAGCATACAGAAGGGTGTGGGATGGCAGGACTTGGGAGGAGGCCGACGGTGACTGAAGTTGGGTGAGCACTGAGATGTTGACAGGGTGGTCACGGATGCCACAGCAGGCGTGTTCAGTGTAAGGGGTAACTCCAGGCTGTGTCTGGGGGCAGCAAGGGCTGCCTCTTCCTTGGCTGAGTTCCGCTCCGCTGAGCGGGTGGGGATGCATCCAGGTTATCACCCCTCCCTGGCTTCTCCCCATCACAGCCTACAGGGAAACAGAATCCCTTAGTTGTGGGGGGCTGACTCTGTGGCCTCTTGGCTCTAGCCCAGTGTCCAGTGTTTGAGGGGCCCAAGGATCTGAGAACCCTGGTTCTAGGGCAGCTTCTCAACGTGGCAGAGTCACCTCCCTTTTGTGGGCTTGTTGACAAAACCTTGGCTCTCTGAGCACCAAGGCCAAACAGGAATATGGAGACGGAGTCATGGAGGGGAACGGAAGAGTGTCTTGTCATGCAAAGTGGGGGCACAGTAGGCTAGCACCTCAAGACCTGTGCCCACCTCCCTGGTGAGTAGGGGGAGGTGAAACAGTCAGGCAGGGGGATGTGATAAGGTGCTGACAAGATTAGGGTGTGTGCAGGGTCTCAGGTAATCTTGAGGAATCTCTCTGGTCCTTTGGTTTTGCCTCAGGTGGTTTCGCTGGTCTTCTCCTTTGATTCCTGACTGGTTTGCCCTTTGGAACTCAGGTAGTGGAGGCTGGAGTCTTGCCTATAAGAAATGGGGGACGAAAAGACCTCTGTGCCCAGGAGACCCACATAGCCCTGCTCAGCATCAGGCTGAGGATGAGGGCCAGCAGGTCCGTGGCAGGAAGAGGAAGGAGAGAGGAAAATGGGGGTGGGGTGTCAGCTGACACCCCGGGTCTCCTGCGGGCTTGTTTCCCAGTCTGGGGCACCAGAAGGACCCACGGACAGAGCTGGTGAGAAGCCCGGTGACCTCTTACAGCCTCACCCACAGACAGCAGGAGACCCTGGCAGAGCTTTGTCACCTCTGGCCTCAGTTTCCCCATCCCATGGCCTTTTGCGGGGGGTGTGGAGAGAGCCCACTGAGTCTGCCTCCCTCCCTCCGAGCTTGGGGAATGCCATCACAGCACCCTTTTTTCCTTTTCTGTTGGCCTCCTCCACTGGACAGACAGACGGAGCTCAGAGGGCCGGCGGGCCCTTGTCACTGAGGGCCTCCCTCTGCCCAGCGCCTGACACGTGTCACCTTGCTTGAACCTTCTCAACAGTCACGTGTGTATGACAATCGCTCAGTCGTGTCCAACTCTTTGTGATCCCAAGGACTGTGTCCCACCAGGCTCCTCTGTCCATGGGATTCTCCAGGCAAGAATACTGGAGTGGATTGCCATTTTCTTCTCCAGGGGATCTTCCCGACACAGGGATTGAATTCCGGTTTCCTGCGTTAGGGGCGAATTCTTTACCATCTGAGCCACCAGGGGAGTCTTAGAGCCATGTGAGCCTGCTGTAAGTCTCTCCCCACGTTATAGATGGGGAGCCAGGCAGACGGGGGTGTGACATGCCCTCAGATGGTCTAGCAGCAGAGGCAGCAGTCAGAATGTCTGCGTCCCAAGCACCTGTTTTGTTCACTGCTGTATCCCAGCACCCAGCCTGGTGTCTTGGCACAGTAGGTGCTCAGTACACTTGCTGGGCAGAACTGGCTGAGTGATGGCTCCTGGTCAACCTCACAGAGTGGCTGGGCTTGGAGGAGGCAGCTCACCCAGGGACTGGACCTCAGCCAAGGTGACATTGCCTTTGACGGGTGGGGGTGGGGTGGGGAGCTGTGAGTGCCCAGAGACTCCTGAGGGTAAATGTAATCCCCTTCAAGCTTCACAACTGTTTTGGTTTTGTTTTGATCCTATTTCACAGAAGAGGAAACTGAGGCACCCAGAAGGGCCATGACTTGCCTGAAGCAGTCACATCAAAACCAGGCTGGTGTCTCTCTGGTTTCACTCTCGGGCCAGCACTGCTCCCTTGACCCTGTCCCTCTTAGCCAGGGCCCCGGGTCCCAGGAGGTCCACACATGGGACCACCAGCCTACCCAGAGGACCCTCCCAGGCTTTACTCTCCCCACAGTCACTTCGAAGCATAAGGCTGACCAACTAACTGAAAGCTAGTAATGGACATGGCCCAGAGGCCATCTGTCTGCGCCCCAGGGACAGTTTGGTTGTACCAAGGACACACGTTGGCATCTGAGAAGCCTCGTTGCTGCGTCTCCTTTTGCTAGAGCTCCTTCTGTTAACCCTGTGTTCAGCATCCAAACCAGCCTTGCTTGCACCAAAAAGTCCACGTAAATGCTTACTCAGCACTGCATTCCACTCTGGCCTCGTGAGTTTGTACAAACATCAAAGGAATTCTTTAATTGCAATAAAGACGAGTCCTTGGGGGATGGGCCATTTTTGCAAAGTGTTAGTTGCTTAGTTGAGTCTGACTCTTTGCAACTGCATGGTCTGTAGCCCACCAGGCTCCTCTGTCCATGGGATTCTCCAGGCAAGAATACTGGAGTGGGTTGCCATGCCCTTCTCCAGGGGCTCTTCCTGACCCAGGGAACAAACCTGGGTCTCCTGCACTGCAGGCAGATTTTTTACTGTCTGACCCAACAGGGAAGCCCAGAGCTGTGTGCATCTATTATTTGCCTTTTCAGAATAAAAATATCTTACTTTCCCCCAGATTTGAAGATACAAACTGATTAAAAAAAAAAACAACCCCAAACCAAACCCACAAACACATCCTGCGATTTCTCTCTACCATCCTGGGATAACCACAGTCTTGCCTGCCAGGGCTGTATCATCTTTAAAATACTTGCCAAGCGATGGGCTCACTGATTTCATTGTTACTGCAATCTGTGTATCTTTATTTTGATAAGGTGGAGCTTTGCTTCAAGCACTCATTATTCATGTTTCTTCTTCCGTGAGCTTCTGGTTCTTATCCTTTGACCCTTGCCCATGACCATGATGCTGGGAAAGATTGAGGGCAGGAAAAGTGTGGGACAGAAGATGAGATGGTTGGATGGCATTACCGACTTCAATGGACAGGAATTTGAGCAAACTCTAGATAATGAAGGACAGGGAAGCCTGGTGTGTTGCAGTCCATGGGGTCACAAAGCGTCAGATATGACTTAACGACAGAACACCACCACCTATGGGGAATTTAATCTTTTTCTTATTGATCTTTCAGAACTCTGTGGGAGGCAGAATTTTAGGTCCCATGACCTCTCCCTCCCCATCATGCTTGTGGTTGTGGTGGGTTAGATGGCAAAAGAGATTTTGCTGATGTAATTAAGGATACTAATCAGATATTATTCAGTTGTGTCCAGCTTTTTGGAACCCTATGGACTGCAGCACGCCAGGCTTCTCTGTCCATCACCAACTCCCAGAGCCTATTCAAACTCATCTCTGTTGAGTCGTGATGCCACCCAACCATCTCATCCTCTGCTCTCCCCTTCTCCTCCCACCTTCAATCTTTCCCAGCATCAGGGTTTTTTCCAATGAGTCAGTTCTTGGCATCAGGTGGCCAAAGTATTGGAGTTTCAGCTTCAGCAGGAGTCCTTCCAATGAAGGCGGGTCGAGCCGGCCCAAGAATGAGCATTCCTAACCCGTGCCCACATGGGGCGGACTGAGCCGGCTGGACCACCCCTTAAGAACTCGCTTCTCCCTGCCCTTAGAAGGCCTTTATAGCCCCTCCCACCAGGAAGTTGAGCCCCGCCCACAAGGGGGAGGGGCGTGTGGTCGGGTAAGTCCCACCTTCACGAGCAAGCTCTCCATCCTTACTGGCTGATGGGAAGGGACGCCCCTTCATCACAGTGCTGTCCCCGCCTCCGCCCGAATCCCGGGGCGGGGGTACTGCGCCTGCGTGGTGGAGCTCGCGTTTAGCGCCTCTGCGCGGTCCGGGTGGCTGGCGGAGACTCTATGGCGGACACCCGGGAGGAATCGGAACCCCTTCTGAACCGGGCCCGCGGCGGCAGCGGCCGCGACTGCCCAAGGGGCGTGCCCACTTGCCCCAACGTCCAAGAGGGCCCTGGTGAGCCACGGCCTGGGGAGGGGCCGGGCCGCGCGGGGGCGGCGCTTCGGGGTCCCGGCGGCCGGTGTAGCGTCCCTGCTGTTGCTGCGGGCGCGTCCCCCTCCCCCGGCCGGGGTCCGATCGGGCCTTGCGGAGGGCTGGACGGCTGCGCCCTGCGGACCCAGATCCCGGCCTGGGCATGGAGCTGGGAGCGCGGGGTCGCTGGGGAGGGGGTGTCTCGCCCTGCTCCATCGACCGGCTGGACAGAGAGGCCTCGCTAAGCCCGGGGGCAGCCAGCCCAGTCCCCCCGCCCCACCCCCCAGTCCCCTCTGTGGGCCTGGGGCCTCGTACTTTCCGTGGATCGCCTTGGTGACTCCTAGGAGGAAGTACTTCTGTTTTCCCCAGTTCTTATTGGGGAAAGTGAGGCACAGAGAGGGGCGTTCCCCTACCCAAGGTCACACAGCCAGGAAGTGGCCGAGGTGAATTTCGAACCTAGCTGGGAGTGAATTGTGAGGCTTCCCAAACCGGCGCGGCTTCCTGCCTTTGCGCTCTGCAGCTCTGGCCTGCCCTTCCTGTTTATCCACAGAAAGACTGCTGATTCTTGGGGAGGCCTGGGAGGGTGGAGGCCTTCCGTCCCTGTTACATCCCAGGGGCATTGGGTGCTGGATTTGGGAGGGAAGGGCCTCAGCCTCCTTTTATGGAGGGGGAAACCGAGGCCCCGAGAATGTCCACAACTGGTGCAAGATCACAGCCCTGGGACCTGTAGCAGCTGCTGCTGTCCTGCATGGGATGCTCGTTAAGGGGCCACCTGGGCTCCTGCCTGCGGGGAGTCTGTACTGTGTGCCCGACTGTTGGGGTGGGTGCCTGACCGGAGATAGGAAACATGCCCACCTGCCCATCTCAGAGCCTGTCCCAGGGCAGTTCTCCATCCAGCCTGTGCCAGGCCTCCCAGGGCCCTGGACAAGAGACATGGACCTGGTGGTGTCAGGGGGAGCAGACTTTGTGTCTGGAGGTCCGGGTGCCTTTCTGGTGCTGCCACTTCCCGGCTGTGTGACCTTGGCAGGTGTAACCTTTCTGTTGTTGTTCAGTCACTCAGTTGTGTCTGACTCTTTCCGACCCCATGGACTGCAGCATGCCAGGCTTCCCTGTCCTTCACCATCTCCTGGAGTTGGCTCAAATTCACATCCATTGAATCGATGATGCCAACCTTTCTCAGTCTCAGTAAAACGGCGATGGTCATTAGGGCTGCCCTGGAGGGGGCCTTGTGAGGATTCAGAGAGAGTCTAGGTGCCTGGCCACGTGGCAGAGCTGGTGCTCACTGGTGCCGATAGCCGTTCTGGGCGGAGAACTATGATCACTGCAGGTCCAGCCCCGGGAGAACGCATGGCCAGGCAGATGAGACCCTTACTGTAGAGGCAAGAACTGGGGCAGGCAGTGTGGCTGGTGTGGGGGGCACTCTGGGGAAGGCTCTTTGTCCTGACCCTGTGGCCTTGGTGAGGGCTTCAGAGAACACAGACAAGACACTCTGTGTTCTGGATTTCCCTGGCCAGGCTGTCCAGCTGGGCTCCGGGGCCCTTGCTGAGTTTCCCCCCTGCTCCCGTGCGGGGGTGCTGGATAGCACCCTGCGCTCAGGGTCTGTCTGGCCCGCAGCTGGACTCTCCTAGGGACAAAGGTGGGGGCAGGCTGCTGCTGGGTGCCCCTCGGGCCCCAGTGGGGCCCTGTGGTCAGGTCCTGATGCAGCCCTTCCTCGTGGACCACGACTGCAGGATTGGGGATAGTTGTTTCCTCTTCCCCTTCCTGGTCAGGGAATGACCTTACTGGTCATGGAAAAGTCAGAGGACAAGGGATTGCTAGGCTATAGAAGGAGCTTTCAGAAGAATACTGCTGGCAAGTGTTGATGAAGGGCTTACTGTGCGTAGCATGTTAGCTACAGTAACCCATTCAGCCTGCACATCAGTCCTGTTGTGTAGGGCCTGCAGGAACTGAGGCACAGCGAGGTGAGGGGACTCGCCAAGGGTCACACAGGCCCAGCCAGGGAGTGAGGGGAGCTGGAGCCAGCGGGGAAGGGGATTTATTCTGGGATGTTGGGGAGGGGAGGCCTGGGGCAGGGGGACCAGCGCGGTGCTGACATGAGACACAGTGTTTGAACCGTCTTGTCCTCTGTGCTCTGACATCCTACCCTGGTGTGCCCAGTGGGGAGACGGGGGTGTGGACAGGTGATTGCCCACCCTCCCAGCCTGGGGCAATGAGTCCCTAGACTGCTAAGCTGCAGGATGGCGCTCCTGGTAGGGCAGATGGGGCCTGGGCGAGGGCGAGGAGGCTTTGGAGAGCTTGGCCTTGGTGGAGCCAAGTTCAGGGTGAGTGGCGAGGAGGGCACAGGGTGGAGGAAGCGGCAGGGGAGGAGATGGGCGGGCGGAGCGTGGACTCTCTCCTGGGGCGGGGGATCCAGGGGAAGCTGCCAGGTGCAGGTGGAAGGCTGCTGCAGGGGGGACAGGGCGGGAGGAACCCTGGGTGGTCTGGCGCTTCGAGGGCCGGGTGGTCAGAGTTGAGCAAGCCCCTTCAACGGCCCCCAGTCCAGGTCCTGGAGCAAGCTCCGGGGCCTCTGGCTGCCTGTCTTATGCAGGAAGCTTGTCTCCTTGGGTCCCCTCAGGCCAAGCTCCGTCGCTTACCTGGGTTTTCGTGACACGGGGCCCTCAGGCCGCTCTGCCTCCCTGGGCGCCCCTCGACTGTTCATTCATTCAGTGGGTCGACAGGCGTCCCCAGCCACTGTGTGCCGGGCCCCGCGCCGGCCTGGGCTCAGTGGATGCAGCAGGGAGCAAAACCGAGCGCCCTCAGATCGCAGCGTGCCCGGGAGGCTTTCCAGGGAAGCAGCAGTCACCGCCCTCAGAGCCTCCCTGGGGGAACTCCTGGGCCCCTGGGGGTGAGCGTGGAGGTTGTCTGGGGGGCCCCGAGATGCTGACGGCCATGGTGCTTGTTCTCGGTGACATGGGAAGGTGATGGCAGAGTCCCGTCCCCTGTCCATGGTCCCCCACTGGTCCCTGGACCCCGCTGCACGGGCCCGGAGGACAGTGGCGTGGCCTCCCTGGGGACGGCAGACAAGAGTTGACAGTGGTCTGGAGCGCTGCCCGGGTGTCCAGCGTCCCCTTTTCTGGGCACCTCTCTGCCTGCCTGTCTTCTCTCGGTATCCGTGAAGGGTGGTTTTGGCAGCCGCTGACCTCCAGCGACCAGACGTGAGACTAGAGTCTTCAGCAGGAATGGTGACGGGCCACTTCAGCTCGTCTCAAAGCCCCTTGAGCCGCTGGGGGGCTGCGTGCCGGCTCTGCTGTCCTGGGTACCCGGGCTGCACCCCGCCCGCCCTCCGCGGCCTCTCTGGGGGTCTCCCCGTCGCCCTGGGCTGCAGCTCCTCATGCCTTTCCCACTCCCCTCTGTCAGGGAGCGGTCCCGTGCAGAGTGGCAGCGGCGCCCATGCTCACCAGGCGGCAGGCAGCACGCCCGGCCAAGGGGACCGACCAGGTGCGCAGCCCGGAGCTCCCTGATGGGGGCCTGGGGCGCCGGGCTGAGGTTGGAGCCGCCCGACTCTCCCTGCCCGAAGGCCCCTTGTAGTCGGTCCTCCCTGGTCCCCAAGGACCCCCGTCTCGGCTGCGGCTTCCTGGGCCCGGCGGGCCTGTGACACAAGCCGGGGCTGGGGGACATGATGGCCCCAGAAGGCCCTTCTTAGGTCTCCGTATCCGGTGGAGGGTCAGGCAGCATCTTGGGCTTCTAGACGTGATGCTGATGCGTCAGTGTGAGACCCGTGCCCTTGTCTGGCGGAGGGCAGGCTGGGAGCACCACCCTGTCTCACAGTTGAGGCAGCTGGGCTGCGGTGTCCTGACAAAGGCCGCCCGGAGGCCCGCGGTGGGATGGGGCGGGGAGGGGGACCATGAACACAGTCCGTGCCCCAGGCCAGCCCTGGGGGTCCTGCACTCGCCTTGGGGGCCCAACGGGGCGGCTGTTAACACCCCCAATGGACAGAGGGCGATGGGCACAGTGGGGGCTGCTCCTGTGCTGGGGCTGGAGCCTGTCGTTCAGACCCTGCCCCCCCCACAGGGCGCAGGCATCTCATTCCAGAGCCTCAGAAAGGTCGCAGCCAGGTCCTCGCCATGATCTCCCCAGGAGTCCTGGGGTGGGCGAGCGTCTCCCGATCCCACTCCTCACCTGCTGTGTCCCCTCTGCCCGCAGGTGCCATGGCCAGGCGGGATCTGTGCTTGGACCAGGCTGTGGTCCTCATCGAAGACGCCATCCAGGTGGGTGGGCCTGCTCTTGCCCTGGGGCTCGTGGGGGCGGGGCGGGCGCTCCCTGCTGGCCCCTTCACCCTGCCGTCCTGGGGCCAGGCTGCGGTTGCTGGGCTGTGGTCCTCGTCCCCATGCTGACCGGGATTTGGGGCTTGGTCCTCTCCAACCCTCCTTAGGAGACGTGTGCCAGGTGCCTTTCTGGGTCCCCGGTCACTCATTTCGCCGATTCACCATCTGCCCAGGGCCTGTCATGTGCTGTACTGTTGTGGGTTTTTAAAGATGTCCAGAGGTGGCACGACCTTCCTTCGCCTGCAGACGACTCCCCGGGTTAATCCGGGAGATAGACTGTGGAAGCCAGCAGTGTTCCATGTGGGGGATGAGGCTGGGGGCATCCTGCAGGGTGACCCGGATGAGGTGGGGTGGGGTCAGCCTTGCACAGATGTGAGGTGAGCCTCACGGGCAGACACGGCTGGGTGCACAGCTGTGCGTCCAGCAGGCCGGGGTCCGTCCACCGCATGGCCCCGGGGTCCGGCCCCTGGGTGTTCTCCCTCTGCCGGGAGACCTCGGAGCTTGGGAGGATCCGACCTTGCTGGGTGTCCACGAGCCCGTAGTGCGCGTGGAGCCGACTCTGTGATCCCCGGGCCGTGTCCCTACCGTGGACGTGTCGTGGGGTGAGGGGCTGCCCTGCTCGGGCTGCCCTGGCACCGAGGGGGCCCTCACCGCCCTGCTTGGCCTCCACTCCAGTACCGCTCCATCAACCACCGCATGGACGCCCGGTCGCTGTGGCTCCACAGGCACTACTATTCCAGCACCAGCCAGTGGTAAGCGGGCACGCGCCCCACGGGGCTCCTGTGGCCCCACCGGGGGGGTTTCGGGGGGCAGGCAGGCTCCCCTCCCTGGGATGGACCAGGAGCCGCCGTCTCCCCTCCTTACCGGAGCAGAGGCAGGAAGGGCCCCTCTGTGGTGAGGGCTCCTTTCCACACTTGCGGCCAGCCGTGGCACCTGAGTTTGGACCCGGTGTGTATGGTCTGACCACACACGCGTGGCCCCGGAGCGGGAGGTGTGGGCCCCGGCCTTTGGACCCGCGGAGTCTGCCTTGCTGCCTTCCAGGCGTCCGCCTGTCGATCTGCTCTTTGGGCCCCCGAGCGTGGCTGGTTCGTGCCTCGGCAGTCTCGGTTCCTTTTCCAGGATTCTGAGCTTCACCATTTTCTTGATCCTGGCTTTGGCCTTCGTGGAGACCCCTTCCTCGCTCACGCGCACCTCGGACGTGCGCTACCGCCCAGACCCCTGGGAGGCGCCCTGCGGCCTGACCGAGGGCATCGAGGCGCTCTGCCTGCTGGTCTTCGTGGCCGACGTCTCCGCGAAGGTGAGGGGCACCTCGCCCGCCTTGCCCTCCCACCGGCGCGGCTTCCCGAGTTCATTCTTCTCCTCCCGGAGCCAGCCGCCTGTCCCCACCATGCACTTTGACCCGCAGGGCACAGACCTGCCTCTTGGACGGCCCCCCTCTGGCCCCTGCCCAGACCATTGATGGGGGTCGGCTCAGCCATGGCGGGTGGGTGCATGGCCTCGCAGGACCCGGGGAGGGCGCAGCTGAGGGTCCACAGTGCCACCCTGGGGAGAGACCCCTGCTGAACAAGAGGGCGCTGGAGGGGTCTTTCCACAGCCCTCACTGCCCCCATCGACCGAGGAGAAGCCCAGAGGGGCAGGGCCGGCGTGGGGGCGGGGCAGCTGCCCCCCCACCCTCCCAGTGTGCCAGCCTGACTTCTGTGACCAGATCCTTCCAGAAGCCGGGGGTGGGCCCTGACCTGACGAGCAAGCTGGGCTGTGCCAGGGCGTCAGAGCCGCAGGGACTTGCCGCTGCTGGCCACTGCCTCCCGTCACTTCTGATAAACAGCGGTGATGCTCCAGGGGCACGTCCAGGGCTGAGCCAGCTGCACCCTGCCTACGGGCCCTTCAGGGGGCAGTTCAGCTTCTGTGGCCTGACCCCGAGGGGCACTGGTGAGCCTCAGTGTGACCGAGAGCCCTGGGCAGTGTCTTATTTCTCCTTTTTTAGCCTATAATGGGGTTAGGAGGTCTGGGGGTTTTAACCTGGAACTGAAACTGGTGAGTTTTCATTGGCCTTTTTTGAACAGCCGGTCTGTTTGGGAAGTCTCGGAAGGTGGGAGATGGCGTGGCTTTTATCTGCAAGCGGTGAACTCTGGGGGGGGGGTCAGTGATAGAAAGTTAGGTGCCGGCCACCCAGATGGCAAACCCACCCTCCCAACCTGGGCCGCTGCTCTGGTTCCTGGTCTTTTCCGGAACTGTCCCCACGCACAAGCCGCAGTGGTGACTGGACAGGCAGGACAGCCGTAAGGACAGGCTGGAGCGGGTCAGAGCCGCGCCCGTGGTCATGAGCAGGCGGGGTGAGGCGTGCGGCCTCCCGCCCACTCGGCGCCCAGCTTCCTGCTCCGAGTCACGTGGGGACCACGCGGCTGCCCGAGGCTGCCCAGCGCCCCCCGTGTCCACACGGCGCAGGCCCTGCACCGCTGCCCCCGCTCAGCCGCCCTCTGTCTTGCAGAGCTACCTGATCGGGTGGGCCCAGTTCCGGAGGAACCCCTGGCTGCTGGCTTACCTTGTGGTGCTGGTCGTGTCTCTCCTGGACTGGGTCGTGTCGCTGAGTCTCGTCTGCCAGGAGGTGGGTGGTCAGGCAGCTCCGAGGGGGGTGGGGAGCTCTGGAAGGGGGTGGGGGGTGCAGCTGAACGGTGTGGGGTGCGGGGAAGAGCCCTGGGGCCTGGCATCCCTCTGGCCCAGCTCTGCGCCATCCGGCCCACATCAGTCACCCACAGGCCGGAGCCTTGTCCCCACCTTCAGGCCCGGGGAAGGCGTGAGGCCCTGGGGGCGAGTTACAGGGTCCTGATCCGCCCTGCCATCAGCAGTCCCGCCCCCAGGCGCACTGCCTGCCCGGAACACTCAGAGGCAGCGCCCTGTGATTCGATAGATCAGAGCTCACAGATGTTGGTTTGGGGGCGTCTGTAGCCCTCAGGGCCGGTTGTGGGCACAGAAGCCCGGTCAGGTGCTTTGGTCGAGAGAATTTAACATAGGGGCTCAGACAGGGCTTGAGGAACCAAGAAAGCGAGAAGGGGACCGGCGACCCCAGCTCTGAAGGCAGCAGCCCCCCCGCACTGGGGCGGGGGGAGTGAAGAGGAGACTGAGGCTGTGGCACTCGGTGGGGGGGTGCTCGGGGGGTGCACCCCGCCCTCTGGGGGGTGCTGGTGCCTCCAAGAGGTGCGGCGGTGACTTAGTGCTGGGGGGGCTGGAGGCTGATCCCAGGTGCTGCCAGCAGGAACGGCACATGGACGGAGGCCAGCGGGCACCCCCACCCCTCCCGCTGCCCTCCCGCCCAGTGGAGCAGCCAATGCGGATGTCAGGGGTGTCAGGGGTGGGTCCCCAGCTAACAGCAGGGCTGCAGGGTGGGGGGGCACGGTTCCCCCTGAAGCCCCCTCTGTGCCTCCTCCACGTCCCTGCACGAGGACCCTCCTCCGTAAGGAGCTGCCGCCCCCTCCCCACCAAGGAGAAGGCTCGCCTCCTCCCCAGACGGGGCAGAGGCCAGCCCAGTCGCTGCCGGCTCCATTTCTGAGCGATGGTCATTGTGTCTATCAAGTGTCACCGAGCATTCTGGGTGAGGGTCTTCGGTGAAATCAGGAAAGAGATAGGCACGAGGGCCCTTACAGTGCACACTGTCCATGTGACCAGCGGGGAGGACCGCGTGGCTTGTGTGCTAGCGGGCCAGGGACCTGAACTCACACTTGCAGTCTCCCTGCCCCAGTCCCACATCCCTGGGTCTGTGTACACAGGGACCTTCACTCCTAAGGGGCCCAAGTCCGTGGCGATCCTGCCTCTTTATTCCTGGAGTTTTGGGACAGTTGTTCATCCTGGATGTCCCTCGGGGGAGCCGACACAGACCTCCCTGTCCCTCTGGGCGGCAGCTCCCCAAGCCTGCCATAGTAACTGGAGCTCTGCGCCCTGCCCACCAGCCCCCAGTACTCTTCACAGTTGTGGTTCAAAAACACCCTCCTCAGGGGTGGTCCTGGGAGAGGTGGGGGGGCAGGGGGCAGAGTCCATGCCTGTCTGCCCGCCTGTCTGCTGAGGACAGCTGACTGCCTTGCTTGGGGAGGGGCTGGCGAGTCCCCCCAGGGGCCACATGGGGGCTGGCGCTGGGCTTTGCCAGTGGCCAGGGTGGGGGTTTCCGTACTGTTGGCCCCGAGCATGACCCCCATCCCCATCCACCCACGCTGCAGGGGGCAGGTGGTCAGCTGAGCAGAGGTGGGGGTGAGGGTGCCCAGCGCGGCTGCCAGCTGGAGGTGAGGGGTGGGTGCCCTGGGCTTCCGGGCGGCCGTGGAGGGCTTGGGCAGGGAGGGGAGGCCATCAGCTTTGTGTTTGTGAGACCAGCAGGTGCCTGCTAGGACATGTCTGGAGTTGACAGCTTGGGTTGTAGATTGAATGTGGAGGGGCTCTTAATACTGTAAGGATAGACCAGTTCCCTGGGCCATGAGGCCAGCGAGACGGGAGGAGGGGCTCGGGGCGTCTAGCACAGGGTCGGGCAGAGAGCGGGTGGCCCCGGTGTCAGGTGGGGGAGGCGCCTGCCGGCCAGGCAGGACGACAGGAGGTGATCTTGGGCTCAGAGACTCGATGGTCACCGCGGGCCGGTGCGGAGCCCTCGGGCAGGAGGGTGGGTCGGCTGGAACAGGAACTAGGAACAGATGAGCAAAGGGGAGCGTGGCTTTTTTGTTGTGAGTGGAAGGTATTGAAGCACATGGTGTGTGTGTGCACGTGGGGAAGGGGTAAGAGCTCTGGGGGCTCCGAGGGGCCAGGGTCCTGAGCACAGGGAGGCGGGCCTCGGGTGTGACAGGAGGGGGAGAGGAAGGGGTGGGTGCAGGTGTGTGTGTGCGTGTTTGAGACCGTGGAGGTATGGGGGTGTGTGTGTGAGCATGGAGGTGCAGGTGTGTGCGTGTGTGAGAGCGTGGAGGTATGGGGTGTGTGTGTGAGCATGGAGGTGCAGGTGTGTGCGTGTGTGAGCGTGGAGGTATGGGGTGTGTGTGAGCATGGAGGTGTGGTGTGTGTGTGCGTGTGTGAGCGTGGAGGTATGGGGTGTGTGTGAGCATGGAGGTGCAGGTGTGTGCGTGTGTGAGCGTGGAGGTATGGGGTGTGTGTGAGCATGGAGGTGTGGTGTGTGTGTGCGTGTGTGAGCGTGGAGGTATGGGGTGTGTGTGAGCATGGAGGTGTGGTGTCTGTGTGCGTGTGTGAGTGTGGAGGTATGGGGTGTGTGTGAGCATGGAGGTGCAGGTGTGTGCGTGTGTGAGCGTGGAGGTATGGGGTGTGTGTGAGCATGGAGGTGCAGGTGTGTGTGTGTGTGAGAGCGTGGAGGTATGGGGTGTGTGTGTGAGCATGGAGGTTCAGGTGTGTGTGTGCATGTGTGTGAGCGTGGAGGTATGGGGGTGTGTGTGTGAGCATGGAGGTGCAGGTGTGTGTGTGCGTGTGTGTGAGTGTGGAGGTATGGGGGTGTGTGTGTGAGCATGGAGGTGCAGGTGTGTGCGTGTGTGAGCGTGGAGGTATGGGGTGTGTGTGAGCATGGAGGTGTGTGTGTGTGCGTGTGTGAGCGTGGAGGTATGGGGTGTGTGTGAGCATGGAGGTGCAGGTGTGTGCGTGTGTGAGAGCGTGGAGGTATGGGGTGTGTGTGTGAGCATGGAGGTTCAGGTGTGTGTGTGCGTGTGTGAGAGCGTGGAGGTGTGGGGGTGTGTGTGTGAGGATGGAGGTGCGGTGTGTGTGTGCGTGTGTGAGAGCGTGGAGGTGTGGGGGTGTGTGTGTGAGCATGGAGGTGCAGGTGTGTGTGTGCGTGTGTGAGAGCGTGGAGGTGTGGGGGTGTGTGTGTGAGCATGGAGGTGCAGGTGTGTGTGTGCGTGTGTGAGAGCGTGGAGGTATGGGGGTGTGTGTGTGAGCATGGAGGTGCAGGTGTGTGTGTGCGTGTGTGAGAGCGTGGAGGTATGGGGGGGTGTGTGTGAGCATGGAGGTGCAGGTGTGTGTGTGTGTGTGTGTGAGCGTGGAGGTATGGGGGTGTGTGTGTGAGCATGGAGGTTCAGGTGTGTGTGTGCGTGTGTGTGAGCGTGGAGGTATGGGGGTGTATGTGTGAGCATGGAGGTGCAGGTGTGTTCGTGTATGTGTGTGAGCGTGGAGGTATGGGGTGTGTGTGTGAGCATGGAGGTGCGGTGTGTGCATGTGTGTGAGCGTGGGGGTATGGGGGGGTGTGTGAGCATGGAGGTGGGGTGTGTGTGTGCGTGTGTGAGCGTGGGGGTGCGGCGTTCCTGCTCGGCTTCTGTCTGTCCGGTCTATGTGGGAGGCTGTGACCCAGAGCGTATGAGGGGCTGGGGGCCACAGATTGAGGAGGCCTGGGACAGCCCCCGGAGGGCACGACCGCGGCTTCCCAGGCAAATCCAGGGGCGCCCGCCCTCTGTCAGAGCAGGGGTGGGGGGCTGGGGAGACAGGCTGGTCACCCCCCGGCCCTGGTGCTGGCGCGTCTGGGGGCCTGGGGGCCTGGGCTCCGACCTGGGCTTGGAGGGATGTGGAGGTCAAGGTCGGGCGAGCAGGCAGCCTGGGGACAGCCAGGGCCGGGGCCGTCCTCACAGAGCGTCGGGTCTCTGGGCCCGTCCTGGGGGCCGTGCTCAGGGTCGCGGGTGCGGGTCTCTTGCAGCCCCTGCGGGTGCGCCGTCTGCTGCGCCCCTTCTTCCTGATGCAGAATTCCTCCATGATGAAGAAGACGCTCAAGTGCATCAGGCGCTCACTGCCGGAGATGGCCAGGTGGGCGCTGGGCCATGTGGGCCCTGGGTCATGTGGGCGCTGGGGGACAGGTGGGCGCTGGGTCAGGTGGGCACTGGGGCCAGGTGGGCGCTGGGGCCAGGTGGGCCCTGGGGTCAGGTGGGCACTGGGTCATGTGGGCGCTGGGAGGGTCAGGTGGGCCCTCGGGTCAGGTGGGCGCTGGGTCAGGTGGGCTGACAGGGCGGGGTGGGGATTTCTGCTACCTGCTGGGGGCTGGGGCTCACTTCCTCTGGCCAAGGAAGGGGGTGCTTGTGGGCTGGCAGGCATTTGGGGGTCTCTGTCTCGCACCTAAGGCAGCCCTCTTAATGGCCTTGCCTTGACCCCTGCCCCCTGCTCCGTCCTGCATATGCTTCCTGCCTTGGCTGTGACTGCTCAGTTCCCTCCGTCCCCAGCCCCCCACCCTCTCCCTGCACCCCCACCCCCATGACTCACGTGGCTGACCCCTCACTGCTGGCCCAGGTTGATGCAGCAGCCTTTCTCCTCTGCAAGTCCCGGGGGTCCTTGGAGCCGTCTCTCCTGGGACAGGCTCGCTCGGGTTGCACGTCTCCTGCCAGAGGGCACGGAGCGGCTGAGCAGGTGGCGGGTAGCGGCAGGGAGCTCCCTGCTGGGCCGGGTCAGCGGAGCCGGGACGCCGTCTGCTTGCGCTGAGTGCCGATCTCCCCACCTCCCCAGCGTCGGGCTGCTGCTGGCCGTCCACCTGTGTCTCTTCACTGTGTTTGGAATGCTGCTCTTCACCGGCGAGAAGGTACGGCGCTCTCCGCTCTGCTTCGCCAGGCAGCACCCCGCCTGGTCCCCCGCAGGCCACCCTCTGTCAGTCCCCGGGCTAGTTCTCGGTCAGCAGAGACAGGTCCCGTTAGGCTGCCTGCCCGCCTGGTCCCAGGAAGTCCTCCCGCTGTGTCCTGCCGGGCATCTCTGCCCCCGGCCTCCAGGCTCCGGCTGCTCTCTCCACGCCCCACTCTCCTCGGCCGTTCACGGACCCTCCTTCTCTGCACCCCTCGTAGATGGAGGCCTCTCAGACTGGCCATCAGGGCGGCCCCTCTCAGCCCCTGCCTGTTTCTTCAGACGGGCCGCTCCCAGCCCCTCACTGCTTCCTGGCCCCCGGCAGCTTCTTGCTGGGTGGGGGTGTCGTCTGTGTCACTCTGTGTGCATGCTGTGTGTGTGTTTCTGTCTCTGTGTGTGCATGCGTGAGGGTGTCTGTGTGTGTGTGTAACTGTGTGTGTGTGCTGTGTGTGTATTTCTGTCTCTGTGCATGTGTGAGGGTGTCTGTGTGTGTGTGTAACTGTGTGTGTGTTTCTGTGTGCACACATGGGGGTGTCTGTGTGTGTGTGAGACTGTGTGTGCTGTGTGTTTCTGTCTCTGTGTGTGCATGCATGAGGGTGTCTGTGTGTGTGTGTGTGTGTGTGTGTGTGTGTCTGGGTGGCAGGGGCAGCTAGTTTGGGAGGTGGGACCAGTAATGGTATCTCAGGACCCATGTGTCTGTCCAGTGTCGTTGCTCTTTATGGAGCGCAGGATAGGTGGGATGGGCGAGGGTGCACCTCCGGGAATCGGGGGAGGAGTGGGCCTCTGACCTGGGAACACGGAGGGTCCCGAGGTGTCCGTGGAGGGCTGACCCTCGGGTGGCAGCTAGGAGAGTGGCCTTGCAAGGCTCTCTGAGTGATGAGGTGGTTTTCTGTGCCTGGGCGGGCACCTTCCGCCCACACTGTGTCCAGGGCACACGCACGGCCGGTGGAGTCTGACTGGGAGCAGGCTGGCTGGCCCCCGCCGGGCCCTCTCGGCTCAGGCTGTGATGCTGCCCCCCAGGCTGGTGAGAGCTGTTCACTGTGGCTCCAAGCAGGCCTGCCCCCGTGGCTGGTGTCCGTGTGGGGCATCCCTGGACACTGGCTCTCGGGCCGAAGGTCCTGAGTGTGGTCTGCCCGGCTTGGAGCTCGGAGCCCCCTGGTGGGAGATGGAGAGATGGGCCCTGAGGCTGCGCAGCCGTGGTGGGTGGTCCGGGCTTGTTGGGTCTGGGGCCTGGGCTTTGCGGCCCGAGGCCCGGTGGCTCCTCAGTGCCACTGCGTCTGCTTCCGCAGGACGCTGGGCAGGACCGGGAGCGGCTGACCTACTTCTTCAACCTGCCTGAGGCGCTGACCACCCTCCTGGTGCTGCTGACCACCGCCAACAATCCTGATGGTGCGGGGGCCGGGAGCAGGGCAGGCCGGGGGGTGGGCGGGGGCACAGGGCTAGAGCTGAGCCTGACACTGGGCGTGGGGGCCCCCAGAGCCTCTTTGTCGAGAGCGTGATTAAAGGTGGAGCCCCCGCCTCCTCTTCCCCGTCTTTCTATTTTCTCGTGTCCCTTCTCTCTCCTGCTTCCACCCTCTTCTTCCCCTTTCTTTGTTTTCTTTCTCTGTTCCTTCTCCTCTTCCCCTCGTTTTCTGAGTCCTGAGAAGCTAGAGGTGGACGCTCTTCTTTGTGGTGATGGACTGACCTGGGCTCAGCGGGCGCCTGGCGGCCTCCTCCTCTTTGAGGCCCAGCCCCGCTGTGTGTGAGGCCCCGGGTTCTCTGGCGGCTGTGACATTGACTGGGTCAGGGTTGCTGATGGGGCCTCTGTCTGCTCGGGCTGGGCGTGTGGCCCGGAGGTTGGGGGGTTGCGGTTCTTGGGCTCAGCTGTGGCCTGGACAGCCTGGCTGGGGTCTTTCTTCTTGGGCTGGGGGTGGTCACCAACTATAGAGACCCTCCCAAGAGGTCAGCCACTGGCTTCTTCCATACCTGGCGAGAGCTGTGCCTGGGACCCTGAGCACTGGCCCCACATACCCTGTGTGTCCTCCGGTCACTGAGGGAGGGCTGGGCTTTGTCTGCAGGGAGTGCTCACACGGAGCATCCTCCTAAGGTAGCGAGTTCCCCGTCCCCACGGGTGTGCAAGCAGAGGTTTGAGGGGGCAGAATTTGGGCAAGAAGTCCTTCCAGGTCCACCGATACAGGGCCTTTCTTTCTGTTGAAAAGATAGTGATATAAGACGATGAAGGGGATCAGCTAGATGCTGGGATTGTGAGTGTTTTATTTTCTCTGATTTCTTTCAGTGATGATTCCTGTGTATTCCAGGAACCGAGCCTACGCCATCTTCTTCATAGCCTACACCCTGATCGGTGAGTCTGGGCGGGTCTGCAGGGGTCACTGGGGCAAGCTTCTGGGTGTGTTCCCCAACCCTGTGGCCTCCCCTCTGTGTGACCTCTGCAGTTTTCACTCCGTGACCACTGGTGACCTGTCCTCAGTGCCTGCTAGGCAGGCCAGGTGGCGCCCATCCGTACACGAGGGCCTCGGGCCCCTGCCCGGCTCACTCAGGCGGCTTGCTGCTGACGGGCTGGGCCCGTGTCGACCCTCGGGGCCCCAGATGCTGCTGCTCCTCCAGACCCTGCCCCCTGCCCGCATGGTCCTCGATGACCGTTTGGTCCCTGCTGACCGTGGCCTTTCCTCTCCCAAGGGAGCTTGTTTCTGATGAACCTGATGACGGCCATCATCTACAACCAGTTCCGGGGCTACCTGATGGTGAGCTGAGCTGCCCCGGAGGCCTGGCAGGGAGCTGGCCGGCGCGGTGGCCCTGGGGCTGCGTGGGTGTGTACGTGGGTGGGAGGGCGGGGCCTGTGGTGGCCTCAGCACTGCCCCCGCCTCCCTTCTGTGGGTGAGGGGGACTGGGCCCATCTTCCCTCTCTGCCCCCCAGGGGGTGCTGGCCCCACAGCCATCCCTGGCCCCTTCCCTGCCCCACCTCCTCTAGGGGGAAACTGCAAGAAGACTGAAGTTCCCGGGGCAGTGACCACCCCCCCGACCCCCCATGTAGGTGGGCCAGGGACCCCAAGTCCCCTGAGAAGGGATGCGTACCTCAGTGAATTTCACAGCGGTGGCTGCCGGCAGGGCCTGGCCCTTGTTGTCTGTGACTGCCGCCGGCTGCCCACGGGGCGAGGGGCTGCTCCCTGGGCTGCGAGTGAGCCGGGGCTGTCTGGGGCGAGGGGCAGGGTGGCCAGGGACAGCGCTGGGCCAAGCCCCTCAGCCCCATCCCCTTTTCAGATGTCTCTCCAGACCTCACTGTTGCGGAGACGGCTGGGGACCCGGGCTGCCTACAATGTCCTCTCGTCCGTGACAGCAGAGGGAGAAGCTCACCCCGAGCGGTGAGAGCGGGGGTCCCGCCCCTCCCCTGAGGCTGCTCTGGGAGGGGTGTTCATGGCGGGGTGTTTCCTGCGCTCCCTGCTGGCAGTGGGTCGCAGGGCTCCTTTGGAGTCAAGCATCCCTGGGCGGGTTCCACGGTCCTGGTCCGAGTTAACTCATGTCCTTGTGACCCACTGGAGATCCTGGTTTGGTGGGGGCCACGCACTCTGGCCTGTCCCCAGGCGCCCTTCGCACACCCGAGCTGTGACTTGGGGTCCAGGACGAGAAAGGCCTGGGACACACGTCCACTCTGCCCCCCACTCTGTGACCGCTTGGAGGCAGTGTCACAGAGCAGTTCCAGTCCCCACCGCTCACTGGCCCCGGGCCTGTGGGTCGCACGCTCTAGCATCCTCAGCTGCTCCTCTCTAAGGCAGGATCACGGGGTCTTGGGATTTTGGAGATAGGAAGACCATCAAGCGCTCCTTCCTGGGGAACTTGTCACTGCCCGGGTTGCTCCGGCCAGCAGTCAGGGCGCCTTAGGGGGCTGAGTTGGCTGGGCTCACTGAGGGCATCTTCCCCACAGACTTGGGGTGAGGCCTGAGGATTTCCTGAAAGTGCTCCAGAAAGTCCAGCTGGACAGTGACCACAAACAGGCCATCACGGAGGTACTGGTCCCCCCTCCCCCACACCCCGCCTGTGCCTCTGGGCTCCCTAGGTGACGTGGGTGTCATTTCAGATCAGCTCAGCTGGCTTGGTCCTGATGGGCCTGGCGGCGGCTCCCTTCCTGCCCTTGGCCTGGCTGCCCAGCACACCTGTGCGTTCCTGCTTTGCAGAAGCTGCATTCCCGCAGTGGTGGCCTGTTGTCAACTGACGAGTTTCAGAAACTCTTCGACGAATTTGATAAGAGGGTGATTAAAGAGGTAACTGTGCCCGGGCCAGGGGCACGTGTGGTTAGTGGGGAAGTCCTTGGTGTCTCTTGGCATTGATCACCTGGTTCACTCTTAGTGACCGGCGCTGGGACTCACCTTCCCAGGGATTCTGGCCCCTAGGGTGTTTGTGGGAGCAGAGCTGGTGTGGCTCTTGGAAACTGGGGAGATTTTGTGACCTCATGAAATTCCCAGACCACAGGGACTGTAGTCCTGACCCAGAGGAACTTCCCAGTTTTCTCCATTCTTCATGATAGACTTTTCTCTTCTTCTCACATGTCCTAACCCAGGAGGTTCCTGAGTTTGTCCAAAACCTTTGTCTGTTGGCCTTGACACTGATTTTTAAAGTTAGCAGGTGGGCTTCAGCATCCAGCTTAATACTGTGTCCACAGGACCCTGGCCCGCCTGTGTTTTATGTGGCAGGTGCCTGGGAGGCGGCGGGGGAGGAGGTGCAGGGAGACAGCCGAGCTGTTCCCAGGCAGACTGTGGCTGCCACTCCAGCCACCTGGCCTTGACAGGGCTGAGCTGGGCTCGAATGGGGATTGAAGAGGTGGAGTCCGTCGTCTCCTGTCGATCGGACCCCTCGTTGCTCAGTGTCACCTCTGAGTCAGTCAGCTCAGCTGCTGTAACAAGTATCACAGCCTGTGCGTGTGTGTGCGAAGTCTGGAGGTGCTTAAATACCAGGGCTTACTGTCTCCAGTTCTGGAGGCTGGAATCTGAGATCCAGGCTTGGGCAGGGCTGGTTCCTCTCCTCAGTGTGTGGACGGCCGTACTCTCCCTGCGTCTTCATGTGGTTTTCCCTCTGTTGTGTGTCTGTCTCCTGATGTCCCCTTCTTATGAGGTCAGCAGTTCCTGTGGGATTAGGACCCACCCCAGGGACCTCATTTTAACTTAATTGCCTCTTGAAAGACCCAGTTTCCAAATACAGTCACATCTGAGGTCCTGGGGATTAGGGTCTCAAAATAGAAATTTTGGGGGATGCACCTTAGCCCACAAGTGTCTTCTCCCAGGCCTGTGGTCAACCTCCGTGGCCTCAGGCCCCAGTCAGCGGTGGTTTTCCCTGAGGACATGAGGCCTTTGCAGGTCCCCCGGAGGCAAGTCCTGATTGGTCTGGAGCTATGGGTGCTGTATCCTCGGCCCCTGGGTTGTCAGCAGCACCCTCACTGCAGGACCCATGGGGTACGGGAGGTGGTTATAGGGACAGACAGGCGGACACTTGGTATGTTAACATACATTACGCCGTCTGTGTTCAGGTGCCTTGAAGGAAATGGTATGTGCCATCAGGTGCAGGTTTTATAGAAGCTGTGACGATGGTTCTCAAAGGATAGTAAACCTGGAAGCACCTTTCTAGATGATGGTCCTGGGGCAGGAGGCTTGCCAGGCCCAGGAGGCAGCTCTTGGCAGTTATCGTTTTGATTTGCTGTGATCCAGCCCTTTTCTGGGCGCAGCCTGACCTGGGTGAGAAAGTGTTGGGAAGGCGGGCTCCTTTCTCAGCGATCGCTGGGCCAGCCAGACCTTCCCTGGGCTTGCCAGCTGGCCTGTAGGGTGCTGCTGGGTCCAGGTCGTCCGGGACCAACTCTCCCTTTGTCTGGAGTCAGGATCTGATATCAGAAGGAGGTGCTGTGGTTGTGTTGGTGGCTGATGACTGGTCGCACCTGCAGGCCACGCCCCTCCTCTGACCACACCCTCTGCTGACCACGCCCCTCTCAGACCACACCCTCCTCTGGCCACGCCTCTCTGGCCACACCTTTCCTACAGTGGTTCATGAGATGCTCTCTCTTTCCATGTGCTCTAGATCTAAAGTCCAGAACTATGATTTGAGGTGGGAGTTTGGGTCCTAGAAGTCTGGGGAGCTGTGATGTCCTTGTCTTGGTTTTATGATATCCTCCTTCCCCCCTGCCACTGCTGACTGCAAGCCGGCAGGCAGGTGCTTCAAGGATTGTTAGGATATGAAGGCTTGTCCCAGATCCCCTGACAGGCTGTGGTTTTAGAATCACCGCTGAAGAGAGGTGTTCTCTAGGTGGCTGATAGCAGGAAATCATGAGCCTTCATGAGAGCCCTCCCATGTATGGTCACCTTCTGTCCATCAACCAGGCCTTGGTCCAGTGCTGGTCAGCTTGTGCTAATTGGCTGCAGAGAAGGTACCATGCCAGCTTCTGAAAGTCTGTTTCTCTTTTACTTTTTTTGGCTGCGTCACACGGCATGTGGGAATCTTAGTTCCCTGACCGGGGATTGAACCCGTGACCCCTGCAGTGGAAGCCCGGAGTCCTAACAACTGGACCACCAGGGAAGTCCCTGTTTTTCTTTTAGTAAGATGCTTTCGAGGTTAAAAACATAGTGGGCATTCATTATAGATAGTAGAGAAAAATAGAAAAACCCACCTAACTGTCCACCTTCCAGGAAATTATTTCACGGAAATCACTTCAAGGCTTGTTATTTCTTAATAATGATGTGATATATGAATTCATTCCTCTTGTAATAATTTAACCTATCGGATAATGCTGATGTCTCTTTTGGCCAATATATCAGTCTGGGTTCAGGCAGGAGACAGAAATCACGTAGAAGTTTAACATTGAAAAGTATTAACTGTGATAAGAGAGTCACTGTAACACATGGGGAAGCTCTGTGGTCCCTGAGGGTGGAAGAAGATGCCTGGGGAAGAACAGACCTGGGAGGGGACCCATTCCCCAAGGCCAGGGTCCGGATGCCTTTGGAGAAGTTGTGGTCAAGACCCCAGGGGGACAGAGATGTTTGCTGGTTTACCTGGGCTGGAGCTGGTCTGCGGTCACTAGGCAAGCAGGATACCACCGTCTAGGGTGCAGCAGGCGCTGGCCGTGAGCAGAGCGTGTGAAACGCAGAGGAATTGGACACTGGGGGCGGCTGGCGGCCTCTGGGCACCAGTACCCACGTGGAGGATGTTCTTATGGGGTCAAGCTGTGGCTGCAGGTCACCAGGGAACCGTGTGTCTGAGTGTGGGGCTGGGTCAGAGCTCCATAGGTGTCCTTTCCCCATGTGAGGTGTGGTTATTGTGAAAGAGGAGCCAAGTGTTCAGTTTGATCAGATTTAAATTTGAATCAAGTGGCCACGGGCAGTGAGTGGCCCCCACGTGGGATGGCCCGTCTCGCGCTGCAGTGACTGCTCTGCGTCTCTTGTCCTGGTGCACAGGCGGGGGCCTCTCTGGGGGGAGCGGGCTGGTGTGGGTCCCTGGGGGGAGCGGGCTGGTGTGGGTCCCTGGGGGGGAGCGGGCTGGTGTGGGTCCCTGGGGGGAGCGGGCTGGTGTGGGTCCCTGGGGGGAGCGGGTTGGTGTGGGTCCCTGGGGGGGAGCGGGTTGGTGTGGGTCCCTGGGGGGGAGCGGGTTGGTGTGGGTCCCTGGGGGGGAGCGGGTTGGTGTGGGTCCCTGGGGGGGAGCGGGTTGGTGTGGGTCCCTGGGGGGGAGCGGGTTGGTGTGGGTCCCTGGGGGGGAGCGGGTTGGTGTGGGTCCCTGGGGGGGAGCGGGTTGGTGTGGGTCCCTGGGGGGGAGCGGGTTGGTGTGGGTCCCTGGGGGGGAGCGGGTTGGTGTGGGTCCCTGGGGGGGAGCGGGTTGGTGTGGGTCCCTGGGGGGGAGCGGGTTGGTGTGGGTCCCTGGGGGGGAGCGGGTTGGTGTGGGTCCCTGGGGGGGAGCGGGTTGGTGTGGGTCCCTGGGGGGGAGCGGGTTGGTGTGGGTCCCTGGGGGGGAGCGGGTTGGTGTGGGTCCCTGGGGGGGAGCGGGTTGGTGTGGGTCCCTGGGGGGGAGCGGGTTGGTGTGGGTCCCTGGGGGGGAGCGGGTTGGTGTGGGTCCCTGGGGGGGAGCGGGTTGGTGTGGGTCCCTGGGGGGGAGCGGGTTGGTGTGGGTCCCTGGGGGGAGCGGGCTGGTGTGGGTCCCTGGGGGGGAGCGGGCTGGTGTGGGTCCCTGGGGGGGAGCGGGCTGGTGTGGGTCCCTGGGGGGGAGCGGGCTGGTGTGGGTCCCTGGGGGGGAGCGGGCTGGTGTGGGTCCCTGGGGGGGAGCGGGTTGGTGTGGGTCCCTGGGGGGGAGCGGGTTGGTGTGGGTCCCTGGGGGGAAGCGGGTTGGTGTGGGTCCCTGGGGGGGAGCGGGTTGGTGTGGGTCCCTGGGGGGGAGCGGGTTGGTGTGGGTCCCTGGGGGGGAGCGGGTTGGTGTGGGTCCCTGGGGGGGAGCGGGTTGGTGTGGGTCCCTGGGGGGGAGCGGGTTGGTGTGGGTCCCTGGGGGGGAGCGGGTTGGTGTGGGTTTCTGGCGTGGGGGGGGGGAGCAGGTTGACATGGGCGTGCAGGGTCTCACGGGCATCTTCACGGTGTATTTGTTGCCCAGCTGCCCTCCTGTGATCAGGCTTCACTCCAGTCTGGTGACAGTGTGTGAGTTACCCCCGTTCTGTGCTAAGTTTTCATAGTTATTAGCAAGTAATTTATACGTATATTTTCACATGACACTTGGCATACATTTAAGACGACTGCGTGCTTGTCCGTCTTGGGCTGCTTGCAGCATCAGTGCCCTTCTGGGTTATTTCCATGTCTCTCAGTGTTAGACAACTGTGATGATCATCTTTGTGCATAAAACTGACACCATGTTTGAGAAGTTTTCCTGAGGCTGGAGAGTCTGGGTTGGGAGGCGAGGTGGGAAGACTGAATCCCAGGAGAGAGGGGTTGGGTGTCTCGGTCCCCCGTGGCCGAGGCCAGCTCCATCATGTTTCTGAGTGTGCGTGTCCCCCCAGCACCCGCCGCGGCCGCAGTACCAGTCTCCGTTTCTGCGGAACACCCAGTTCGTCTTTGGCCACCACTACTTTGACTACTTGGGCAACCTCATAGCCCTCGGAAACCTCGTGACCATCTGCGTGAGTGCAGGTTTGCCCTGGCGTCGCTGCCCGCCGGCTGTCTCACCGGCCCCCGGGCTGAGCCGCTGACCGCTCTGGCTCCGCAGGTGTTCCTGGTGTTGGATGCGCACGTGCTGCCCAAGGACCGCGACGACTTCGTGCTGGGGGTGAGCTCTGCAGCTGCGGGGCTGTCATCCAGGGTGATGGGGCGTGCGGGGGGCAGAGGGCACAGCCTCCCCACCTCGGGCCCGGGTCCCTGGGAGGCAGGGCCATCCTGGTGCTTCACAGCGGAGTCTGTGGAGCAGGGCGATGTAGGGCCTGGGGGTCGAGGGCCTGTCCGATGGCCGGGGGTGCCTGGATCGGGGGGCACAGGTGTGCCAGTTGTGGTTGAAGCTGTGCCTGGGGTACAGGTCCCCTGAGGAGGGGCTGTGGACCAAGAAAGGGGTGCTGAGATGCCCGCGTGTAGGGGGCTCAGGAAGAGCTGCCCAGAGGGGTGTGAGGAGCAGCAGAGAAGTGGGAGGGGAGGGTCATGTGGCCCCAGCATGGGAGGGGGTGGCTGTGCGCCACGAGTTCACCTTGTGCAGCAGGGCGGGACCCACGGGGCCCTGTGGACAGAGGCGCATGGATCTCGTTGGTCCCGTTGTGGGCGGGGGACGTTTGGAGAGGTCAGGGAGCCGGGCGGGACCCACGGGGCCCTGTGGACAGAGGCGCATGGATCTCATTGGTCCCGTTGTGGGCGGGGGACGTTTGGAGAGGTTGGGGAGCCGGGCAGGACCTGTGGGGCCCTGTGGACAGAGGCGCATGGATCTCGTTGGTCCCGTTGTGGGCGGGGGACGTTTGGAGAGGTTGGGGAGCCAAGCGGGACCCACGGGGCCCTGTGGACAGAGGCGCATGGATCTCATTGGTCCCGTTGTGGGCGGGGGACGTTTGGAGAGGTTGGGGAGCCGGGCAGGACTTGTGGGGCCCTGTGGACAGAGGCGCATGGATCTCATTGGTCCCGTTGTGGGCGGGGGACGTTTGGAGAGGTTGGGGAGCCGGGCAGGACCTGTGGGGCCTTGTGGACAGAGGCGCATGGATCTCATTGGTCCCGTTGTGGGCGGGGGACATTTGGAGAGGTCGGGGAGCCAAGCGGGACCCACGGGGCCCTGTGGACAGAGGCGCATGGATCTCATTGGTCCCGTTGTGGGCGGGGGACGTTTGGAGAGGTTGGGGAGCAGGGCAGGACCTGTGGGGCCTTGTGGACAGAGGCGCATGGATCTCATTGGTCCCATTGTGGGTAGCGGACGTTGGGGAGCCAAGTGGGACCCATGGGGCCCTGTGGACAGAGGCGCATGGATCTCATTGGTCCCTTTGTGGGCGAGGGACGTTGGGGAGCCGGGTGGGACCCACGGGGCTCTGTGGACAGAGGCGCATGGGTCTCATTGGTCCCGTTGTGGGCAGGGGACGGTTGGGGAGGTCGGAGAGCCGGGAGGGACCCAGGGGGCCCTGTGGACAGAGGCGCATAGAACCCGTTGGCCCCACTGTGGGTGGGGACGTTGGGGGAGGTCGGGGAGCCGGGCGGGACCCACGGGGCCCTGTGGACAGAGGCGCATGGATCTCATTGGTCCCGTTGTGGGCGAGGGACGTCGGGGAGCTGGGCAGGACCCACGGGGCCCTGTGGACAGAGGCGCATGGATCTCGTTGGTCCTGTTATGGGTGGGGGAAGTTGGGGGAGCTCGGGGAGCCGGGCAGGACCTGTGGGGCCCTGTGGACAGAGGCGCATGGATCTCATTGGTCCCGTTGTGGGCGGGGGACGTTGGGGAGCGGGTGGGACCCACGGGGCTCTGTGGACAGAGGCGCATGGGTCTCACTGGTCCCGTTGTGGGCAGGGGACGTTGGGGGAGCTCGGGGAGCCGGGCGGGACCCACGGGGCCCTGTGGACAGAGGCGCATAGAACTCGTTGGCCCCACTGTGGGTGGGGAAGTTGGGGGAGGTCGGGGAGCCAGGCAGGACCTGTGGGGCCCTGTGGACAGAGGCGCATGGATCTCATTGGTCCCTTTGTGGGCGAGGGACGTTGGGGAGCCGGGTGGGACCCACGGGGCTCTGTGGACAGAGGCGCATGGGTCTCATTGGTCCCGTTGTGGGCAGGGGACGGTTGGGGAGGTCGGAGAGCCGGGAGGGACCCAGGGGGCCCTGTGGACAGAGGCGCATAGAACCCGTTGGCCCCACTGTGGGTGGGGACGTTGGGGGAGGTCGGGGAGCCGGGCGGGACCCACGGGGCCCTGTGGACAGAGGCGCATGGATCTCATTGGTCCCGTTGTGGGCGAGGGACGTCGGGGAGCTGGGCAGGACCCACGGGGCCCTGTGGACAGAGGCGCATGGATCTCGTTGGTCCTGTTATGGGTGGGGGAAGTTGGGGGAGCTCGGGGAGCCGGGCAGGACCTGTGGGGCCCTGTGGACAGAGGCGCATGGATCTCATTGGTCCCGTTGTGGGCGGGGGACGTTGGGGAGCGGGTGGGACCCACGGGGCTCTGTGGACAGAGGCGCATGGGTCTCACTGGTCCCGTTGTGGGCAGGGGACGTTGGGGGAGCTCGGGGAGCCGGGCGGGACCCACGGGGCCCTGTGGACAGAGGCGCATAGAACTCGTTGGCCCCACTGTGGGTGGGGAAGTTGGGGGAGGTCGGGGAGCCAGGCAGGACCTGTGGGGCCCTGTGGACAGAGGCGCATGGATCTCATTGGTCCCGTTGTGGGCGGGGGACGTTTGGGGAGGTCAGGGAGCCGGGCAGGACCCACGGGGCCCTGTGGACAGAGGTGCATGGATCTCATTGGTCCCGTTCTGGGCGGGGGACGTTTGGGGAGGTCGGGGAGCCGGGTGGAACCCACGGGGCCCTGTGGACAGAGGCGCATGGATCTCATTGGTCCCGTTGTGGGCAGGGGACGTCGGGGGAGGTCGGGGAGCCGGGCGGGACCCACGGGTGGCACCGGGACTGAACGCTGGGCACGCTTCTCCTTTTCAGATTCTCAACTGCATCTTCATCCTGTACTACCTGCTGGAGATGCTGCTGAAGGTGTTTTCTCTGGGCCTGCGGGGATACCTGTCCTACCCCAGCAACGTGTTCGACGGGCTCCTCACCATCGTCCTGCTGGTAAAGTCTGAGACGGCTGAGGCACAGCCTCTCGGGGGGGCGGTGTGCACTCCGCCTGTGCACAGGGTCTCTCCACTGCCCCTGAACCCCAGGGGACCGCGGGGCCTGGGGCTCCCGCCTCCGGTGACAAAGGGGCTGGCTCCCCTAGGCTCAGCCGCCTGGCGGGGGGCTACAGGAGGCTGGTTCCCGCTGCCTCTGTGGGTCGTCGGGGCTGGGGCAGGGTGAGGGCAGGCTGCCTCTCCTGACACCCCAGGGAGGCCTGCAAGGAACCTGCAGACCCTGCCAGCCAGCCCAGCCCCACCAAGGACAGTGGGGCCTCCGCGTGTGTGAGGGACAGGCAGGGTCTCAGGCACTGGGGGTCTTGGGAAGTGTTTCCCCAGATCCTGGGGGAGTGAGGGGTCGCTCCTGGTGTGCACATCACAGTAGTGATATTAGTGTGATATGTACTCAAGTTTGACGGATCAGAGCTGTGGGCTGCCAGCAGCAGCGGGGAGGCAGCTGAGAGGAGGGCCTTCCGGTCCATCCTTGACCATAGTTTCTCCCGAGCCCGGAACTCCGAGGCCCTCCCAGCCCTGCCTTCCGCACGTGCAGCCCCACTCCCGAGGCCAGGGCATCCTTCTCAGCAGCGGGATGTCCCCACGTGGCACCAGCCAAGGGGGCAAGACCAGCTGTGGTTTCTCCCCAGATCCCCTCGGGGCCCATGTGTTAAGAGCCACCAGTGGGCCTGCCGTAGCAAGCCTTCTTCTCTTTTGTGATTAAAGGTTTTGGAGATCTCCACTCTGGCTGTGTACGGCTTCCCACACCGGGGCTGGTATGTGTCACGGAGAACCCGGGAAGGCCTGGCTAGCGCCCTGGGGAAGGGTGTGTGTCCGGCCTCCAGCCGCTGGTGCAGGCTGCTCTAAGGGCTGAAGGCCTGACTCTCAGGCGAGTGGCCACAGCTCCTGCCCCGCCGAGTCCTGTGGGGTCAGGCGCCTTCTCTGCTCTTGGGGACTCTGCGTTAAAGGCCTTGTGGCCGCCTTCAGGACGATCGTGTTCCCAGAGCTGGGGTGGGAGGCTCTAGAGGTGCCCCTGCGATGGGATCCGAGGCCCAGGTGTGCCAGGGGCTGGAAGCAGGGAGGCCCCCGCCATCACTTCCCAGCCTGGGCACCAGTTCACCTCCGCATAGACGTCAGGGTGGCTCTGGGCTCGCTGAACTCACGCTGCCCCCAGTTCTGGCCACACGGAGGTATGGACATTTGGCCAGGGGTCCCAGGGCGCCTTGCGGCGTGGCGTGTGGCAGCCTTGGGGTCTCGCTGCCCAAAGCACAGCAGCCCTGGTGAACTCGCGTGCTGACCTCGTGCCCTCAGGGGGACCTGGCCTCGGTCTGTCGGCTGGGCTGCCTTTGTCTTCGTGGAGCAGTTGAGAGTTGTCTGACGAGGATGGGCTGGATGAGTCCTGCCCCTTGGGGTCTCGGGAGGGGTCTGTGTCGAGGAGGATGGAGGCGGGGGCAGTGGAGCCTCGGGGCCTGCCCGGAGGCTGTGGGGCCAGCTCTCCGTGTTTCTCACGTGCGCTGAAAACCCACAGGGTGCTTCTGGTGGGAGGTGGTGAGGGGTGCATCCTGGGTGAGAATGGGTTAAACTTAAATAGAAACGAGAGCACAGTAAGGCCCATGAGGGACATGTGGGGGACAGGGTCACAGCCAGGGGCAAGGACGTCTCTGCCAGCTCTGCTGGGACCGGAGCTGGGTGTTTGGAGCCCCAGGGTTCTCCCGTGGGAGATGGGGTCATGCAGCCCTGCACCACGTTGGGGGCTGTGCCCTGGGAGGTGTTGCTGTGAGCGCCCTGGGTCGCGGGCGTGGGTGGCCCAGGCTCTGCCCTCCCATCTCCATGGAGCTCTCGTGGTCGGCGGCGCCTGTGGGGTGACTTCCTGGCGCCTCTGGCTCTCTCTGCATCTCTGTCTCTGGACCACGCGCTCTCTCGGCGGCTCCTCGCCGGCCAACCCATGTCTGCGTGTCTCTGTAGGAAGCCGGCGATGCTGGGCCTGCTGTCGCTGTGGGACATGACGCGGCTGGTGAACGTGCTCATCGTCTTCCGCTTCCTGCGCATCATCCCCAGCATGAAGGTACCGCCTGCGCCTGCCGGGCCTCCCTCTGGGGGCGGGCGCACCTGAGGGGCAGGGACCAGGGCTGAGCACCGTCCCACCAAGTACCTGGGATCCCTCTGCATGCGCCCCAGCCTTGCGTCTTGGCTGGGCGATGCTGGAGGCGGTTGGGAGCATAAGGGCGTCCAGCCCAGATGGCATGGGGGTATGGGTGAGACCCGGGGGTGGTCTCGTGCTCCTTGGGGTCCCTGGCCTTTGTGGGGAGCCAGCGTGCCCCCAGGCATCCTGAGTTTCTGAATGGCCTTGGCACAGGCTGCCGGCAGCTACTGGTGCCCCTTCCGAGGACCCCCAGTGCAGGAGTGGAGTGGCCTGTGACCACCGTCTCTGAGCCCTGGTTTCTCATAATGTTCCCACCAGGAGTAGCCCCAATTTTGGGTGGGGGGGTGCGGTCTGGGTGTGCCAGCCCAGCCCCTGCCCTGCACGGGGCGGGGGTGTCTCTCCCGTCTGCTTTCCTGAGCACTTGCAGGAGAAAAGAACCTGAGGACACCTATGTGCCCCCTTTCTGAGTGTCCGGGTCCTTCCCCTGTGTGCGCCCTGCCAAGCTGTGCACCTCGCCTGGCCGCGGGTGACCCATCGTCACCCAGCGCTATTTCCCATCTGAATGGGGTCCTGGGTACAGAGGACTGTGGCCCTGAGCCCTCCATACGTACACACACCTGTGTGACCCTACACATGCAGTGCACACCGGCACGTGATCACACACACCCAGAGCACACACAAAGTCATACAGATGTATGTATAATCACACCCCCATATAATTACACTCATCGTCTCACATACACACACATACACGTGCACACACCAACAGATGCATTTGCGTGTAACTGCACAATTATACACACATGTATGCAGCCACACACATACACATAATCATACAGTCGGGCACAACACAAGCACAAGTGTATATATACACGTGTGTGTGCTCACATACACATACATGATCATCTCACATGCATATACACATGTGCGTATAATCACATGTGCCCACACGTACAGCGGAGTTCCCACATGCTAGCGTCTGGTGCTGTTTCTCCTGACTTACCAAGTGGGGAAACTGGCTGCTTGGAAAGCTGGTCTCTGGGGCTTAGATTCACATGTACCATGGTCCCCAGCTGGGTTTCTGCGGCCCCATACCTCAAATCCCGTCACCCAGGGCTGACTGGCCGTCTCCAGGTTGGCCTTTCTCCAGAGCCTCCAGATCCACTTTTGTGGGCCGGTGGGCGGTGTGGGCCAAGGCCCTGCACATCGTGGCTTCACCAGCGGTCGTGGAGGCGTCTGCACATGTAGGGGTGTGTGTGGGGGTGGGCGGGTGTGTGTAGTTGTGAGAGTGTGAGGGTCGGTGTGGGTGTAGGTACAGGTGAGGTGGGTGTGCATGTGTGTACAGGGGAGGTGTGTGTGTGTGCAGGTGTGTGTACAGGGGAGGTGGGTGTGCATGTGTGCAGGTGATGTGTGTGTGCAGGTGTGTGTACAGGTGATGTGTGCAGGTGTGTGTACAGGTGATGTGTGGGTGTAGGTGTGTGTACAGGTGATGTGTGGGTGTGTGTGCAGGTGATTGTGTGCAGGTGTGTGTACAGGTGATGTGTGTGTGTGTGTGCAGGTGCGTGTGCAGGTGATGTGTGTGTGTGTGCTGGTGCGTGTACAGGTGATGTGTGGGTGTGTGTGCAGGTGATGTGTGTGTGCAGGTGTGTGTACAGGTGATGTGTGGGTGTGTGTGCAGGTGTGTGTACAGGTGATGTGTGGGTGTGTGTGCAGGTGTGTGTACAGGTGAGGCGGGTCACCGCTCTCTTGCCGTCTCAGCTGATGTCCCTGGTGGCCAGCACCATCCTGGACCTGATCAAGAACATGCGGGCCTTCGGCGGGATCCTGGTGGTGAGTCTGGCCGCCCGCGCTGGCCTCTCTGGGGAGTGAGGCTGGGCCACTGGGCAGGTAGCCGGAGCTCCGCGTGAAGTGGTGGCCTTCAGAAGGAGGGTCTCTGCGTTCGGGTGGTAGCGGGTGACTGAGGCCCCGGAAACCCAGGGCGGGGCGGGACGCTGGAGAGAGGAGCTGGGGTGGTCTGGCAGGAGGTGCGGCCCGACCACACTGCCTTCCTGGGCCAGAGAGCCTCTTGGTCACTTCCGAATCCCTTGTGTGTCCTGGGCTCTGGGCCACACTGAGAAGATGAAAAACGTTAGAGGTACCAGGGGCCCCAGAGGCCCCAGAGTGGTCAGCCATCCTTGCTTGAGGATTTGGGGAACTCAAAGCCACTTTTGCTGAGTCTCGATGTCCCCTACCCTGGGCCAGGCCGCCTGCCCCCACCACGTGGCCCCGCCGGAGCTGGGCCTTGAGCAGGGGTCCTGGGTGCTGCTCCAGGCACGAGGCCTGGCAGGAAGGAGAGAGGGTGATGAAGCCCTGCTGTTGTGGACGCCAGGGGGCTCCGTGGTGCCCAGGGCTGTCATGGGGTGCTCAGGGGACCTGCTTCATGCACTGCCCACAGACCCTAATCTGCCTCGTGGAGGAAGCAGGCCCGGAGAAGGGCTGGGTTAGCCTGGGGGTGCGCCTCGTCCTCTGCCCCCCCCGGGCACATTAGCGATGGGTCAGGGGCGGCCGGCAGCCCCTTCTCTGACTGTGGCACACAGCTGCCCAGGGGTGTGCCTCAGACACTTGCTGATGAATGTGGGGAGGGCGGTGGGCTTCTCCCAGACGGACATGGCCCTCTTCCCGGGACCTTCTGCAGCCCCGCTGCCCAGCTCTCCATGGGGCCCACCTCCTGCCTCACCTGCCCTGGAAGAGGGTTCACAGCCCCAGTTCTCCCCCTGGGCCCCCGTGTATCCCCAGGGCTTCCCTCTGGGACAGATCGGTGGCCAGGAGGGGTGCCTGGGAGCAGAGTCCCCGTGTCCCCTGGGAGGAACCCCTGCTGGCACACAGCCCCTAGCAGGCCCTGCCTGGCTGTGTGGGGTCCCCCCACAGGCATGCGATGCCGACAGCCCGCCTGCCTCCCCAGGTCATCTACTACGTCTTCGCCATCATCGGCATCAGCCTGTTCCGGGGTGTCGTCGTGGCTCCTAGAAACAGCAGGTGAGCTGCATTCTGGGGGTGTAGGGGGAGTGCCTCCGGGGACGCTGGAGCCGGGGTGAGGCCTCGGAGGTGGTGTGGGGTCAGCTCCCCAGGAGGGACCTCCTGGGTCCTCTTTCTTCCTTGGTCTCCCTGCCTCTTTCCCCCCCCCACCCCTGCTTTAGCAGCCCTCTCTAGAATCTGCACTGAGGGTGGTCCCTGACCCTGTGCCCCTTTATGGACCTGCAGCCCAGGCTGCTTGCTGCAAAAGGGGTGTCCAGGGCTTGGCCTAAACTGTGTGGCCCTCCCCCGGCCGGCCTCTGCCCATGTGTCCACAGCACTGGCCTCGCTACCCTTGGAACATCCTCAGTTGGAGGAAATGTCCTCTTTGTCCCCCTTTCTCAAGGGCCCGCTGGGTCCATGTGGAGCAGGGGCTGAGGCGGGGCTGGGCACCTGACGTGTGTCCCACCATGGCCCCCACACTGACCGGGTTGTGCCTTCCCACCCCTCCCCGCAGCCTGGCCTCTGACAACGGTTCCGCGCCCTGCGGGAGCTTCGAGCAGCTAGAGTACTGGCCCAACAACTTTGACGACTTTGCAGTGAGTCCCGCGCCCCCTGCCCCTCGTATCCCACCCGCCGCCCCTGTTCCCCGCGGCCTCCTGGAAGCCCCGTCTGCCCCCCGCAGGCTGCCCTGGTCACTCTGTGGGACGTGATGATTGTGAACAACTGGCAGGTGTTCCTGGATGCCTTCCGGCGCTACGCGGGCCCGTGAGTGACCCGGCCTGGCCGGCCTGACCGCGGCTCTGCGCGGGGTGCGCGTCTGGGTCTTACCTCCTGGGGGCGCAGGGCATGTGGGGCAGCAGGTGGCTTCTGGGGGGGCCTGTGACCTGGGGTGAAGGGGCTCAGCCTGGCGCGCTCAGACAGCCCCGGTGCTGGGGTGGGTCCGAGCCGCAGCCCTGCTCTTCCCGGCCGACTGACCCTGAAGGCCGGGCTGGGCCAGCCTGGGCTCGGGCGGAAGCAGCCAGGTGGAGCAGGGAGCGCTGGGCCCAGAAGAAGGCTGCGCTGGGCTCACGGGCGCCCCCGGCCCCCACAGGTGGTCAGAGGTCTACTTTGTGCTGTGGTGGCTGGTGTCGTCCGTCATTTGGGTCAACCTGTTTCTGGCTCTGATTTTGGAGGTAGCGGACACCCCGGCCCAGGCTCTTCTCAGTTGGCGTTTCTAACTTGCTGAGGTGGAACTTGGTCGAAGAGCCTGTGCTAGGTTCCCTGGCCCTGGGGTGCGGCTCTGCCCTCCCTCGGGGAAGCTCTTCCAGAAGGCTCCTGACCTTTGACCCGTGGGGTGGGGCTGGAGGAGGGCCTTCAGGGAACGGCTTCTGTAGGGGATGGGGGTCTTATCGGGCCTCGGTCCGCGTCCGCGGGGAGCTTCTCAGCCAGGTCGGCACGGGAGGGGTCCACGCAGGGCCTGGGCCTACCCGCCACCCGCCCCTCCCTCCCTCCTGCCAGAACTTCCTTCACAAGTGGGACCGCCGCAGCCACCTGCAGTCCCTCACGGAGGAGTGGGAGGACACCTCTGAGATGACCGAGGAGCTCCCTTTCAGGTGCGTGGCGGGGGGCGGCGGGGGCGGGGGAGAGGGAGGGCGGGGCGTGGGGGCCAGAGGCGGGGCCGAGGGGGCGGGGCGTGGGGGGTCGGAGGCGGGGCTGAGCGGGGGCGGGCCGAGAGGGAGGGCGGGGCCGAGAGGGGGGCGGGGCGTGGGGCCAGAGGCGGGGCCGAGGGGGCGGGGCGTGGGGGGTCGGGGGCGGGGCTGAGCGGGGGCGGGGCGAGAGGGAGGGCGGGGCCGAGAGGGAGGGCGGCAGTGGGCAGGCGCTCCTCTTGGGACCTCCCTGGCTGCCTCTGCTCCTGCCGCGAGGCTAAGTTCCTCTCACCTTGAGCTTACGAAGGGAATAAGGGAAAGCTCAGCCCCTCTTCCCCATGGTAACCTGGAACTTGTTCCTCTGCTGGCTCAGAGAAGCGGCCGCACCGCCCTCCCCGAACGTCTGTGTGTGTCTCAACTGCACAGAGTGGGCTTCTCCTGGCCTTTGAGGGACTCCCCGTAAACATCCCAGAGGTGGACCCAAGCCCCCTGCGGGTGGTTCCGCGCAGCTCCTCGTCCTGAGAAGCCCTGACGAGGCCTTTCCGTCAGCCCTGCGCACCTGCTCCCCTGCAGGCGTCCAGGGCGCCCCGTCCATCGTCTCCCCTGTTCCGCAGGGACGTCCTGGAGGAGCCCACGGAGGAGGAGCTGGTGGAGAAACTGAGCCGCCACCCGCACCTGCAGCTGTGCAGGTGACGTCCGGACGCTTTCCGGCTGCGGTGGCCGGCGGCCAGGCGGCCTCGGGAGGCTCTCGGGCCCGGGAGGAGGCGGCTGCGGCCCAGAGGAGGGGCCTTCCCCTTGGGCAGACCCACTGCGCGGACCGAGGCTGGACAGGCGCAGGCCCTGCTTCGCAGCCGAGCAGGACCACTCCGCAAGCCCCTCGGGCGCTGTTCGCGCCACTTCCCTTTATGAGCTGCTTCCGAGGGACTTGCTTTTCTAAATACAGCGGGGACCACTGACACGTGTGAAAGGAGATGCCCCGGCCTTTGCCTCGGGCCCTGCCTTTTCCGTGGTGCCTTCGCTGCTGGTGGCCTTCAGGGACCAGGGGCCCCCGCAAGGCCCACACTGGCCGACTGGCAGCTTTCCGGGGCATTAAGCTTGGGATCCTGGTTTTACACAAGAATCTGGACTGTTGTTTTATTATTTTATGGCTCGTGTGAGTGTGATCGAGTGTGTTTCTTTCTGGGTGAGAATGCCAGTCATCCCTGTCAGTAGGCCTCAGGAAGCGTGAGGTTGTTGCCTACTGGAACCAGACTGCTTCTGTGGAGCGGGGGCTGCCAGGGCTCAGCCAGTTGGAAACCAGTGCTGTGGCTGGACCAGTCCTCACGGTTCTTACTGTGTTTGCAAGAAGCCTTTCAGTAAAGGCCATCAGGAAACTTTGAAAAAATAAAGATTTATTACCTACAAGACCTGGAAATTGCCTAGTGCACCTGGGCCCATACAGCGAGGTCACAGGTAGAGAGAGACCGTGGGCCTGGGGTTCTGCTTTTATTAGAATTGAAGGTTTCAGGGGACTCACTCTTGGTTGGTGGATTTAAAACATAAGAGCAGGAATTTAAAGTGAAGGAAGAAAAAAAGTGGCCCAAATGGTCAGTTATCAAAATCAAAGATGTCTAAAACAAATCTCAGAGCAGAAAGGTGGGCAGTGAGTTTAAGATACTCTGTTTGAAGTGGATGCCTCTGCAATCAAAGCTTAAGAGAACTATTGCCCGGACTTTTGCTACCCCAGGTATGGTTGTATAGGTTGTACACTGCACAAGAGTACCCGGCTACAAAGGTGTGCCCTGGCATTGGCTGTCTACCTTGTAAGAGGGACCCTCTCTAATTTGCATAAAGACACATCAAAGTCAGAGATGGCCCTACTTTGTATGTGCTCACGGTGTGTGATGGGACTGTGGGGAGGAGGAGGGGAAAGTGAGCAGTGCACAGGCCACATTGCCACTTGGTCCATTGTAGATCCGGATTGATAAATGGGATGCTCATTTCAAGGGCTACCTCCAGTGGTTGGTTGGTGGTAGCTCCCAGAAGGTCTGATGAGAAGGATTGGAATCTTCCTGGGAAGGAGTGCTGGGATCTATTAGTGATGTCTGCCATGAGCACCAGAGAGGAAACCAGGGCATGGATGCTGACTCCACTGCAGGAAGGGATCCCAGTCTTCCCCAGCTTGTCTGGGAAATGGGATGAGAGCAAAGTTCAGCTAAAAAAAAGGAACTTCTAAAATGTCTGCAAACCCCAGTGCTTGAGGTGTTCTAACTTCTGGTAGTGTTTTGCGTATTCAACTGCATTGTGGTTACTGACCCCAGAGTTTATCTGAAATTTTGGGTATTCATCTGATGCTCCTCAGGTTTGGGGGACCTTTGCGGGTAGTGAGGTCTCTCCCAGGCTTGCTCCTCCTGCAGTCTGCCTTCCTGGAAGGCTGGTTTTGGGGCGGGGAGACCTTTGCCGAACAGTGGTTTAGAAGTCATACTCAGCTTGGTCGGCTGCCCTGTTTGCTGCCTGTATTTCCACCCCACCTCAAGGTCTGAGCGCCATCTAGTGGTGGGCTCAGGTTCAGTTGACGGTCAGCTTGGCACCATGATCCCTGGCTTAACCAGGTGGCGCAGCAGTAAAGAATCCACCTGCCAATGCTGGGCTTGATCCCTGGGTCGGGAAGATCCCCTGGAAGAGGGAATGGCAACCCACTCCAGTATTCTTGCCTGGAAAACTCCGTGGACAGAGGCGCCTGGCCGGCTAAAGTCAGGCTAGAGTCCGGACACGACTAAACTCGCTTAACTTGCACACACACGTGATCCCCAGGGGATAGCTCACTGTTTTCCCCAGACCTCTGGAGACCTGCTTCTTCTTTGATCCTCTCATGGTACAAGGCTGGGAGCCCAGCCTCAGTGGGTCGCAAGCCTGTCCACCCAGGCCTGGTTCTAGTGGGCGGTGTGCCCACTGTCCTGTCCTCAGGCTGGTCCCAGCCCTGACGGTCTACCACCTCCCCTCTCCATGGCCTGTGTGTGAAGAAGCCTCTGTAGTTATGCTGTCACACAGCAGATAATCCAGACAACCCACGCTGGGCTCAGGGGACAGCGCTGTTCAGAGAGGCTGGCTCTGCCCAGGGAGGGAGTGACTGAAGCTGGAGCTGGTCCCACTGTGCTGGTACCTTTGTGGCCACTGGCTGGGGTACCTGTGCCTACATCGTTTCCCTACGTCAAGTGATGTCAGCTTCAGAGCATTTGTCCAGAAGAGAACTAGAGCTGAAGTGAAGGCTGATCTGGGGCCAGAGTCTTGTCCAGCTGGCACGTGCAGCCCCCATGTTGGGGGGTGGGTCTCACTTCTCGCCCCACCCAGCTTGGGACCACCAGCTGCCTGGACCTTTGTCTGTGAGCTGGTTTCCTGATCTGCAGGGAAGGGCTGGGATTGGCAGGATCAGGTTCACACCTGGGCAGCTCGCTCAAGAACTTCCTGTGATCCCAGCTTCCTGCTGGAGGTGCTGAGGTCATGTCTGTGATCTCCCAGGACAGACAACTTCAACACTTTAAAAATATTTATTTGGCTGTGCCAGTATTAGTTGTGGCATGTGGCATCTTGGTTCCCTGACCAGGGATCAAGCCCAGGCCCCCTGCATTGGGAGTGCAGAGTCTTATTCACTGGACTACCAGGAAAGTCCCAACCTCAAAAGTTTTGAAGAACAGCTAGTGATAATAGAATGGCTCCCAAACTGGGTCGCTGTGAGGTTTCCTTATGCACTGCAGGTTCTGCGGTCTTTGCAGGAATATCACAGAAGGAGTGCATTCTGGCAGCTGGTGTGCAACTGTTCTACAGCTGATGGCCAGTCTTCCTATTTTTGGGTTGGTGGATGCTAGGCTGCCTGGTATAAAGTAACTCATTCTCTGTTTGTGATGAATAAGTGGGGAGGAGCTTTGACCCCGTGTGAATATCCTGTTTCTCACTCAACTTTCTTCTCCCGCCCTGCTTCCATCTGTGTGGGTCGTGGTTTCTTTTATTCAGTGGGTTATAGTCTGTTACTGGATTTTATTTCAAGCCCAAATCATCATTTTGGCTGGGGGAAAGGCCTTTGTCCTAGATTTTGTGTCTGTTGGCTATGTACCTACCATCCTTTGAATATTTCTTTGCTTTCTGGCATGAAAAGGTATTTCAGGCCTATCTTGTACCTTCTTTCCCCCATCCCTGGTATGAGCCATTTCTCCAAGGACCCCTGTTCCTTTAAGTGAGAAAAGCTTTAGGAACCAGGGTGTGGTTCTGAGATGTGCTCACTGCTGTTGAGGTGTTGCTGCACCCAGACTCCCTCAGTGGACAGAGCTAGGGAATCGATGCGCTCATCTGTCTGCCTGCCTGTCTGTCTCTCTCTATATATTTGTCTATCTCTCTAATCTATCTCTGTCTCTATATATCCATCTCTCTGTTGTACTGACCGCCAAACTACACCAATCCCTCTGATTTCAACCAATATCTCCGATTTATCCCCTTCCACAGCTATTAAGCATTTTTCTCTAAATGATTCCCATTTCCCTTAATCTGTGCACTCACTCGATCAGTTTCCCGGTAAATAAGCATTCTCCATCACCACTGCCGCCCTGTCTCCCCAGAGATGTCCTCCTTACCCCACCTGGTGCTCTGTGGACACCCCCGATCAAAAACCTCCAGGAAAGAGCTTTCCTGATGGTTAAAGAAGTAATAAATAGAACTACAAGAAATGTAACTTTATTCACAAATAAGATTGTCTACCTAGAAAATCTAAAATTATCAAACATGGTAATAATTCGTCAAGATGGTTTGCAATAAGATTAATATACTGAAGTCAATTGCTTTTCTAAATACTAGCAACAAACTGTGCTAAGTTTATTTTAAAAGGCACCATAAAAAGTACCACTTGAATCAGAGTAAAATCTTCAAGGTCCTTAAAGATGAACTGAACAAGAGATGTTCAAGGCCTGTACAGGAGAACGATGCCATTTCTTTAAAATCCGCGATTGTAGGCTTGAACAGAGAATGTGCTGCTTTTCTTTTGCTGGGAATCTGACTGAAGAACTGATTGAAAAACTGACATGAAACTTACATGCAAAAAACACCTAAGTTGCTTCTGTATGTTTCTCCTGGGTCTTCCCAGGTGGCGCTAGTGGTAAAGAACTAGCCTGCCAATGCAGGAAACACGAGACCTGGGTTTAATCCCTGAGTTGGGAAGATCCCTTGGAGGAGGAAATGGCAACCCACTCCAGTATTCTTGCCCGGAGAATCCTGTGGTCAGAGGAGCCTGGCGGGCTACAGTCCACGGGGTCGCAGAGAGTCGGACACGACTGAACGACTAACTCAACAACAGCAACAACAGCATTCTCTTGCTGGGAACACACTCAAGAGAAATAGCCTGCCCACATGAGACAGGGGGTAAAGTGTCCAACAGAGCAAAGTGAGTCCTGATAGAATGTGCACACGCTGTGGAATATTATATAGCACTGAACACGGATGAACTCCAGCCACAAACAACCTCATGACCAAGTCTTAGAAACTCTGTTGAGAAGACTCCCCGCGGCATCATATTATTTATAAAATTCAAAACCACAGTGAAACACTATAGTATGGGCATGTACACATGGGCAGTAGGATGACTTAAAAGTGAAATGTGAGGGCCGGGGGAGGTTGGCTCCAGGGAGACGGGCAGGGTGAGAAGGCCCGTCTGGATGACATGGGCGTGT